CCCTCACCCCCCCGCGTTGGAATTTCGAAAAATCCTTTCTTAGTGTGCGTTTCCATGACGTACCCTAACTGTGTACCAAATTTCACCTCTTTAGGTTAAGCGGTTTGCTCTGGGCGATGATGAATCAGTGAATGAATGAGTGAGTCAGTCAGGACAAGCAATTTTATATATTTAGATATGAAATTAATAAATTACTCATACCTGTATCTCTCCAATGATCTATCCACAGCATCACACCACAACTATAAAAGAGACATGTTTTAATTTGTTATCAAGTAAAGTGATTTAATTAAAGAAAGTTATTACATTAGTGTAGGACAAAAAGAATAATTGAAGAATTGTAAAGTTATCTAATCGTGGAAGAATTTTCTCTTTCCCATTTCTTTCTTCCCAAATCTGATAAGCCTGAAAAATGATATAATAACAATACAATTATATTTAGAAATTTCAATACAGTTGTGTTAAACAATTTTCTAGAACTGCAGACATTTTCAAAATTCAATAATGAAATTTATATATATATTGGTATTTATAATTAAAATTAGTCTTGAATTCTTTAAGATTATGTAATTTAACTTTTGCGTAATGACGAAAGAGTAGGCCTATGCATTTCCTCATATTATTGTAAAGTCAGTTTTTGAAAAACTAGATACTTAAATTATATTCTTCTGAAAATCTTGATTTTTTAAGTAGTGTGACTGGTCATATTAAAATGTGATTAAAATTGGTTAATTATTTGATTCATTATGAGACTCACTAGACTCATAATTTTTAATCACTAGACTACATTTTTTTCATTAACGGAAAAATTCACAAATGAAAATAACATCTTTGCCACTGTCCAATCCAGCACATGAATTATGGACCATTTGAAATAGTTATGATAAATGAACCCTTTAAACAGAACGAAACACGGTTCAGTCCTGCCCAGACACAGATGTTATGTAATTAGTCTATGCTAGAAACTGGAGAATTACAATACCAAACGAGCAATTATTTATCGTAACATCGTCACAATTTTTAATTTAAAATATATGCTCTCCACCTCAAATTAGTAATGGCTTGCCTCTGTACATCATACTTTTCCTTTAACAACACAGTCGTGCGGTCATCTATCTAACTCCTTTTGGGAAAAATTTTGGAATTGAAATAACATGACTTGCGGTTTACATCAGAAGTTCTTATATGGTTAATCGGGGCCTCATACTCTTAAGGTTTCCATATTTTGTCTTGACTTTCATCTATCTAACTTCATTCTTAAGATTAAGAAAAGACAAACGGACGGATGGATGACAGTGGAAATTTATAGGTCTACATTCTTTTAAATTGTAGCCCAATTGCTCAATTACATGAATTTACAGTTCAAAGTGCAATATTAAAGACACAACAGCAGTGCATATAACACTTAACATTTATATATAAAAAACATTCACAATTTGGAAAAAAAACAATAAAATGTCTTCACATCCTGTCCTTTTTTCATAACCTCAGGAAAAAACAGTCTTTACGGATGGAGTCGATCTTTTATTTAGGTTACTCCAAATTGTGAATATTTTTCTATATATTTATTATTGTCCTTGGCCATTTATTTACTGTATTAATTTAAATATTTTTTAACATTAACTTCTTTGCGTTATTGAGAGAACGAGAATCGGTAAAATTACAATATCTCGCTGTAAAAGTAGATAAACTTTGTTTCAGCACAGTGATTTCGACAGTAAAGACATGCGCTACAGGGTCTGTTATGAAATTGTTAAAGTTCTTGCTAGTTTACATTACCTTCTGACCAAAATACATAGGGAGTTCTGTTTTGCGTAGATTCTTTTTTGTCCTAGTTTTCCCTATATCTCTTCATACGAATTCTTGAGCGAATGAAGCAAGCAACGCGTGATGATTCGGGTTATGAGATGGCTCGAGAATTCAAACAATTAGATAAACAAGTATTTTTTTCAACAATTATAAATTGTGAAAACAAAATGATTTTGAAACAAATATCGATTTTTATATACAGTACATCTTACTAGTACAGTATATCCTTAAGCCATTTTGTAATTGAAAACTTATTGTACAGTACTTCAAACTATAAAAATATGAAAATCTACAAAAAATTGAATAATAAACTAATTATCATTTACTTTTTTCTCTTAAAGAATTAAATATTCAATCTTTTCCTACAGTTTTTGTATATACAGTATTTTTAAAAATTTTTCAATCATACTAACGTATTGTTCATTGCGTTTAACTTTTATAGTTTTTTTCCTTAAAGTTTGTTTTAAATTTAAAGCATTAAAAAAAATTTTTTAATTACAGTAGAACCTCGAAAACTCGGCTCTCGATAACCCGGCACTCCGGATAACTCGGCCACACCCTGGCAGGGCAAAAAAATCCTTAGTTAATTAATTTTCATTATAGACAGCTTTATAAAAGTATAAAAGCTCTCATAAAGTATTTTTCTGAGGTCTGTCTTATCAGGTAAATTACTGTACACAGTGTATTCATTAATTTTCATTTTCATGTAGTAAAGGCTCTATGCCTTCATAAAGGACGTACTTTTCCTTTGTTTAAGGGTATTTGGGCAGTTTATTCTCTGTTGTATTCTCAAGCAAACAATACATACAAGTACAGTACAGTATTTTCTGAGGAAACACGCATACTTATCTTTTTTTAACCCCATTCCCGATAACCCGGCATTTTCACAAACTCGGCCAGCCTTCGGTCCACATTAGGCCGAGTTTTCGAGGTTCTACTGTATTGCTTTTTATCTAACGAATTATTTTTTCTTATCTAAGTTTTACGATTAAAACGTAATAAATAAAAAAATATTTTAAAAATAATTTTATAATTTGAAATGATTATTACAAATTTCGTAATCTTAATCGTATAACCATGAAAACTTGTTTGTTTTTAAAATAGATTTCCACTTTGAAAGATTTTAAAGAAATAAACTCAAATATATCTTTAATTACAAAATTTAATATTTAAATAAATATTTTATTAAAAGATTCACTTACTCGATAAGCTAAAGTAATTGCCATGTTATCAACAATTGTCATTTTATGTAATTCTTTTGGAATTATCTATAATTAAAAGTGATTAAGATAAATTAAAGAGGAAACTATAATTTTTATTTCTATAGAAATATTTTCCAATTAAATAAATAAAAATTTATTTTTATTGATATTAATTTTATTTTTAATTTGTTTAAAATTATATAAAATAAAATGCATATTAAGAGGAAATAATACGAGTACAGTATATATTGTATAAACCAATATTTAAAAAAAAAATTATTTGAATTGGGTTTTTTCTTTTCGAATAAAAAATAAACTTGGCTTTAAATTTGTATAAAATTAATATTAAAAAATTATTTTAACAATTTTCAATTTATAAATTATTAAATTTTTTCTCTTTTCATTTTCTCTTTAGTTTGTGTCATTTTCTGTTGTGAGACTCAAAAATATAAAAGTTTGAAAATATGTTATGTAAAAATTGTTTTACAATTTTTTATTATATTTTTTTCTTTTTATTTATTAAATAAAATCTATTTAAAAATTAATTCATATAAAACATTCTTACCTCCTCCTTTTCTACAGCAATGTTTAATGAATTGTATTTCATAAAACACCGTAACTTCATTCGAAACTGTTCCTTGCTTTTATTGGTCCACCAATCTCTTAAAACCCCGTTCTTATCTCTTGTGCTTCCTGTAAACTTAAGTGTATTTAGATTTTTTTTTATTTATATGTACATTAGGATCAAGGGCACCCAAGGAAGAAACCAGAAAGGGCAGTTGTCCTTCCTCAAATTTTTTTATTCTTTTTTTATGAATAAATTTTATAAAACAAAAGGTATTTTGTAAGAGTAAATTTATTTTAAAATTCATTATATTAAAGTAATTATCTTCCGCTTATAACGAGATGATGATTTTTCCTTAAAGCTGCATGACAGGGGAAAGACGGCATAACTCCAAAAAAATGTGTTACTAACAAATTTAGATTTGTACATCATCAATCCATCTTCTAAGAAATTTTAATGGTTCAGTTTCATTCCTAAAGGTTGTATTGTACAGTACATTCACACTAACAAACTGTTGCACGTTAAAATACTAATGAATTGAAACAAATCCTTTCTCTCGAAAATTTCCTAATATGGGATATATCGTTTTCCACTTAGGCCCTCAATTGTATTTGGAAAAACCTATATAAGGTATATTTTAGTGAATTAACTAGTTAAGTAAATGATCTAAATCGTATATGCTTTGCTTCTGAGGCAAAATCCTGCGAGGCATATCAATGGCTGAGTGGATAACATCAAAACATTGATAGTTGCTCGTGGATTCGCTTCCTGACCAAAGGGCTAATTGCAAGGAATTTTTCTGGATTTTTTTCACATGTTTAGTAAGATTTATAACGGTTACAAATTACAGTAACCGTAATCGTAACCGGAATTTAATCCAGAAGCTCATGGTTTTCAGTAATTGTAACTAAACGCGGTTACGACGGTTACATCAGTTATTGAGAAAAAAAAAATGCGCTTGATTTGAACATTTGACATTTCGTAAAATAACTGTAAAAACAAAAATTAGTTCTGTAGTAATAATTTTATAAAATTAGTGAATTTTTACCCTAGTAATACTGTAGTATTGTTTCATGATTGAATGTTTTATTTACATGAGACCCAATTGCCACATTTAAAGTAATCTAATATTTTGATAGAGATTATTTTTGCAATTTTATTGTATTTCAAAACCAGCAGTCACAGAGTTGGTTACAACTCTGTGACTGCTGGTTTTGAAATACAGTAAAACAAATCAATGTAAAAGAAAAACAAATACAGACTAAATCTGCGTCTAAATTAATATTTTAGAACTTCCCATGTGTGTAATAATTTTATTGTATTCATTCTTTTATACGCACGATTATCTCGTAAAAAATTCATATTTATATTTATCGAATTTTTATAAAATTCATAATGGTTTAAAAGATTTTTGCAATTTTTATGGAAATAGTCAGCAGTTTTGTAGGATATATGTGTATTTTGTTTAATTCAAATTTTATTTGAAATTTACTTTCAATACAAGAAAAAATTTCAGTTGTTTCTATATTATTAGCTGATTGTCTTGTTTATAAAATCCAGTTAATATTCTTAATGTAAGAAGGTTTTAGAAATACTTTCTTTTATTACAATGGGCGCTACTTCACAGGTAACACTGTTATTCTCGCAATATGCTAGCTGCAATATCAAGCGTGTGATCGAAAATGAAGATGTATTTTCGAAATATAAATTTACAGCCAAAGAAAAATTGCTGGAAAGAAATCGAACTGTGGTCAAGTTATACTTCGAAAAGTTTAGGCCAATTGCTCTCTGTTTATTATTAACTCTTCTGTTTCTGTTCTCTGTTCTAGAAAACGTAATTTTAGTTATAGTAGTTTGACTACCATAACTAAATGGTAGTCAAACTATAACTAAATGACATACCCCAATGGCAGGAATGCTATTATTTTAAAAAATAATAGCATTTCTGCCATTGGGGTATGTCAAACTACCATAACTAAACTCTAACTCAGAATTATTATATTTTTAGAAATAAAAGTTAAAAATGAGTATGATAATTATTACAAGTTTCTACAGAAGTCCTCGAGTGCCCTTGATTCAAGTCATTGTTAAATATCAGTAATATTACCTTTTTCAAACAGCGCAAGAATTATTTCACGACTAATTAAAATTCCAAGTGATGCATAGTTCATATATCTACCACAGGAAATGAAAATTACGATCGACATATTAATAATAAATTGGATTCCTGTGTATTTTATGAATATAGGCCATAATTTTGTTTACCTAGGTACGTCAGTTTCAAATAAAGGGTTTTGCAACATGCAGGCCGGAATTACTTAATTAAAAAATTCACATTAAACTTTAAAAATTATCTATAAATTATAATTTACATAATAATTACGTTACCAATAACATTTTCGTTTTCTTCTTTATAAATGCGTACGTTTGTAATAGAATAATCGGGCCAACTAAATTTTAAATAAAAAAAAAATAATAATAATAGAATTAATTAGAAATATTTTTATTTTATTTTAAGCAGAAGGTATTCAAATACCTTGTTCGATTAACCAAAGCATTCATTCGAGAAAATCGAATAAAGTTTCGTATGAAAGAAATGTATAAAACATTCAAATTTGAATCATTCGTCAGTTTTGGAATCTGAAAATATATGTCATGATTATTTAGCTTGACAGATAAGATGCTTTTATAACATGCGATTTTCGAATGAAATTTTCAATAAACAAAGAAACAAATGAAATTGTATAAATATTTTATATAATTCAACACTCTTCTCTGTTATTATTATTGTTTATTTTAAATTATGATAATGATCGATACATTACTATCTCATTGCAATATTACATTATGTTTGCTGTCTTCTAATACTTGATTTATTGTTTCTAATTGTGTTGCAATTTAACTTATTATTTGTATTGCATAGTTAGGAACAGGTCCTTGGCTAGAAGGGAGCCAGGGGTGACTTAGCAACCTCTAGAAAAATTTAAGCCACTCCTGTCTATTGTTCCAAATGACGAAATTCTGTTTGACTGGAAGCCCAGGTTAACTATGTACTAACTTCTGATTTAGATCGGAAGTCACATTATTTCAATACAAACATTTTCCCCAGAACAGAATTAGATAGATGACCGGCATGACTGTCTTGTTAACAGGAAAAGTATGTTGTGAAGGGGTAAGACATTACTAAAATCAAAAGCATTCATTCTTCATCCAGATCTAAAAAGTTGTATTACGACATTGTGACGATGTCACAATAAATAATTGCTCGTGTTATTTATGATATTCATACTTACGAATTTATAATATTCATTTACGTATTGTATATCCCGTACTTTCGGATTATATCCAGAGAGAAATTTCATTTTACGAGCCTAAATAATGAAAATTGAAATTTTTAATAAAAATACAATTTTTTTATTTAATAACCTTTAAAAAAAATTATATGTAAGCATTCATTTGATTAAGGTAAATTTTATTATTATTTTTAAAATTTTTTACAATAGCGAAAATTGTAAAAAAATTAAAAAATAAAAATGTAAATTTACTAAATTTAAATATGTGTATAAATGTGTCACCAGAATGGTGTATAATTGTAGATGTCGCAGAAACAAGAAATTGATTGTAATGGAAAGAATACGAGAAAAATAAAGAAAATAACAAACAGTGATGGTTTTAAAGTATTTTATAATACCAGTTTATTGTTTTTAATATTTCATCTCGGATGAAGAGTTGGGAAATCAAGAGATAACTAAGATTTTATCGAAGTTTTATCAAATTTTATGTATTTTTAATATAATTTTAATAGCAAATGTATATTTTTCAATCTATATTATTATTAATAATAAGATTGTAGCAGTGATTAGTAGCAATTTTCAAAGATATAATGTGATGTAATGTAATCTATGTAATGAATTTTTCTTGTATAACTCTTCCGTTACTCGTTACAAATTATCCTATGATAAAACTAATGTGTTCTATAATATGTTTAATCTAAAACTTTGGAATATAAAACTACTTTATTTTTGCTTAATCAAAATTTCATAAAAATACAGTATATAGTTTTTGAATATATTTACTTTTCCTAACTTTTGTTTGAAACTTTAATAAAATTAAAATTTCTTAAATCGAATATTTCGAAAGGTTCTGAACTATGATGCCCTAATAAATTTTAGATTAATTTAATTTTTTAATTTTAAAATATTTTAATACTGCTGCGTAACAGTGCTAATTCAGAAACTTAAAACATTAATATTCTCAGTCTCTAAATAATGAAAAGCCTTTAAAAATTTTAGAGTCATTACTTTAGTTAAATACAGTTTAGTTAAAATATGCTTATTAAAATTTTTTAGTTAGAATAATTCTTTCATTTTAAATTAGATCTAATTATAGTACAAGATAATGATCATCACTTACTGTTTTAATTAGAGACATTCGTGCAGTTTCATCAATCCACGAAGCATTGCTCGTAAGATTTTCGAGACCATTTTTAATAAATTCTATCATATTTTTAATCTAAGAAGTGCAACAGTAAATTTTCCGAATAAAAAATGAAATCAATTTTTAGTAAATAACAACAAATCTACTAATAAAATTGTAGAAAAAATTAAAGAAATTCGTGCAGTTTCATCAATCCACGAAGCATTGCTCGTAAGATTTTCGAGACCATTTTTAATAAAATTTATAGAATTTTTAATCTAAGAAGTGCATAAACTGCAATTATATTTAATGATGATAAACAACAAATACTGAATTTATTCTAACAAGAAGTGCACTGTTTAATCCTTTTCAGCTTGCAACTGCACTGTTAAGAAGCAATTACTACTTCTATTCTTTGGAAATTGGGGACAACTTTTTCATTTTATTATTATTTGAACAAGGACATTCAACAAACATACACTATTGTAAGAGTTACAATGCTGAACAGATTGCAATTTTTCAGTTTAAAATAAGCCTTAATCTTCCCCAATGGAAAACACAGAATTATAGGGCACTCACTATCTATAACTTTTTTAAAAATCTTTCAACTGTGCAGTTTATTGAAATAAATACAGTATATTAAAGTTAATATACAGCAGCATTTCCCAAATTGGATAGTACTTTCGTCTGGGTGATGATGGGATTAAGTGAGCAGTAAAGAGAAAACGAGTGCTGAAGGTAATCAAAGTTCTTTTTCCACTTATTTATGATTGATAGCTGATGACTAAAGAAATTACTTAATGCCACAAATGTATATATTAATTTAGATATTAAGAAGCTCCTCATAAACATTTTTTACATGATATTCAATAAAACATGTTTTTAATAGACATCTAATTTTGCCCCCAAAAATTTTTTGGATTACTGAATATGATGATTTAGAATTTGTTAAGTGTCACTAGACTTTAGAGCAAACATTGAAAAACATTACACTGTGCATTTGCTACATTAATACTTTACTATTGATGAAGTGGTTATTAGATTTCTCACTCAAAATTCTTGTTAAATTATTATGGCCTTTACAAGCTAGACTCACTGAGATCATTTAATTCATCATCTTATTGAATAAACAACATTCAAAATTTTAATCAGATATGATTAAATATGCAATTAATTTTACTGTTTTGAATTTGTTTTCCTTAGTGATTTGTTGTAAATCAACATTCCAAAAAACTTTAGGGTAGGAAGCACTAAGAATAAATTTATGAAACCATGGGGTAGGATAGAAGGAAAACTTTGAAAAATTCTGCTATACTGTTATGTAACATTAAGGCATCTATTATTCATTACAGGAGAATTGAAGCTTCAATTCTCCTGTAATGAATAATAAATTCTGAAATAATGTTAAATTAAACAAATGTCACACAATTTCAAAAATAAATATTTAGTCATCTTAAAATTTATTACCCATTTTAAATGAAGAAATATGAAATTTCAAAAATAACAAGTTTTTGTCAAGCTGTTTTTATAATATGATTTGGTGTTACCTATGAGTTTTTTAATTATTTATTTTTATTAATTAAAAAATAAAACAACAATACATTTGTAAATAAAAGAAATTATTAACTACATCAAAATTATTTTGTTTTAACTTACCATGAAATAACTGTGGCCAACATGCAGCAATCGTAGCAATTTTCAATGCATCATAAGTATCTTTAACATTATAATCCTTTTCTAAACCTTAAAAAAAGTTTTAAATTAAGCTTTGCCAGTTTTCAAATTTAATTCCTGTAATATTTAAAGGCAGGTTCATACTTTGTGAGAATGAGAGAGAGAACAGAAAACATTAAACAGGTTTAGTGTATAATACTTTGCACATTATTAGCAATATACTTCTGTTTCTTTTTTGGTTAGAGAGAAAAGCTGACAGAAGCTCTACTTTTCTCTTTTTTAGTAGTCCACAATAATTTTTTCCTTCAACATAACTTGATGAATAATTGCAATTAAAGTAAAATTATTTTCAATAAACCATAATTTAAAATTTACCTAAAATATTGAAAATTTGGGATCATCTTACTTTATTTCTTTTGTAAGACTATATAATAGTTTCTTCTCAAATTAATTAGCTACATATATTCTAATTTTTTAAAGGATTTTACAACTTATGTTTCACTTTTGCTATGCTTCCAAAGCTATATTTTAAACTGCAAATACGAAAAACATGCGCAATTCTCTCATTCTTTTGAAGTATAAACAGTTATGTAAAGAGAAGAGTTATTGTTCTCTTTACATAAGTGATAACATGACATATATAGGAACATTTCAGGTTTAACCAATCCTTGTAGGTTGGAGAGATTTTGCAAGCTGTTTTTTTTGTTTTGTTAGTTACAGCAATGCAACACTTGAGTGATCTGCCTAGGGAATGCCTTCCTGGAAGTCTTTTCAGGATAACTGGCCCCTATTTAGATGTTAAAGACAAGAAGAAAACCCATGACTGAACTACCAGTGTTCAGGGAATGCAATCACTCACTTCTTCACTGGTGGGCCATTCTTGAAAGCCTCCATCAACTTCTACAATAAATGGGTTAAGGTTACAAGACTTGACAGTATCTGTCACACCCACTAGTGTGATGTCACCCCTCTTTAATCCTGACTTCAAATAAAATTATTTCCTTTTATTAGCATCTCACATAAAATGTTCAGGCAAAAAGGAGGACATAAATAGAAAAAGTTTAAGAATATTTTGTGTGTTAATTAGTAATTTATAAATTTTTAATTTAGAGAAAATCAGTTACTCTTTTACTAAGTATAGAAAGCTGTTATTCATCAATAGTCTTAATAAATCAGTAATATGGTTATTTAAATGTTTTAATATTGTGACTATTTGCTAATATACTGCTCTTATTCTCCTCCCACTTTCCTAAAAACATCTAAATTAAATAACATTTATTTTTCTGATAATTATTATCAGAATATATAAACTTTTTCTGATAATTATTATCAGAATATATGTTTTTTTAAACCTCAAAACAACAAACTTAATTAAAATATTACACAATTTAGTCATTAAAATTTTTTCAAAAACTGTAATTGTTGAAAACTTGATTTTTGTAGGATTAATCAAATAAAAAAGGACTGTTTTACTAATGTCCATTATTGTTTTATAATCATATAAAGTTGCACAATGATATGAGAAGCTTTTAAAGTTTCTCATACTTTCTACAAATGGATGGGATGTGATAAATGTCCCATTCTTCCATTAGAGTCAGAGGGTAGTTAAAGGTTTTTTTTTCATGACAAATAGCCAAAAGAAAGAAAACAAGTAACTACAATATGATATAACATTTTTATGTTTATGCATTTTATGATCAAAATAAATTTGAATATAAATCTGGTTTCTTGGTTTAATTTAATAAGACTGTTAAAGACTTTATTACACCAAATACTGTATATAACTCAGTGGCTGCACCAATACTGGGTTAAGAAGCAATTACACTGATTTTGGCGAAAACTCTGAAACATCACTGAAGTACAGTAATTTCGATCTGTCATAAAGTTACAAATGTGAAATATTGAATCACATCTTTGATTTTAGAATACATGCAAAATTTGCAATTCAATGAAATCCTAGGCTGTTTCAAAACCATTTATATTTAATTACAATTTTTAAAATAAGGCTTATAAAAACAATTATTGATTACAATAATAACTAAACTATAATGTAAAAATTAAGTAGAAATTCTTATTCTATAAAAATATACAAAAAATTACATTGTTAGATTACAGGAAATCCTCATTAATTCAAACTCAGATAAATCAAAATTCCGTTAGTTCATAAGTAGCTTTATCCCAGCCAGAAATATAGAAATTTACACATTAAGAAATTTGATTAGTTTGAAATATGGCTACTCCATAATTTGAAGTGAAAATTCTGTCTGAACTGTGATATGTGCATGTTAATTCATTCACTTAGAGTGAAGTGTCTCCATTCTATAAGAGAACAATAACCAAGAACAATTCCAATCTGGTCAACATGACTTTGCTTTTACAGTAACACATTTTCAGGTATCACTTTACCCATGGACTATCCTTTTATTTCTCTTATCTCATATAAAATAGGGCTAAGTTTCGGGATTACAAGACTGAGCTATGAGTAGCAAATTGCGATATTTGTAGTTCTGTAGGCTACTACTTTTGGGCCACTTTAAAAATAATTTGGGCTACATTTTGAAAAAGTCTTTAGTATTTATAAAAATTTATCTGGCGACCTGTGAGGTTCTCACCAGATACATGCTGTTTATCTGCAGTTTATTTATTTTATTATTATTAATTAATAAAAATAGCATTCTGTGTAACTAATTTCTGGTAGTGCTTCCTGCGGAGCCAGATATGTAACACAATTTGTGTACCTCATAAAAAAATAAATGAAATAAAAAAAAATAATGTAACTAACTAGTCATATCGTGTTTGTTTAATAAATTACATGTTACATGGNAGTGCTTCCTGCGGAGCCAGATATGTAACACAATTTGTGTACCTCATAAAAAAATAAATGAAATAAAAAAAAATAATGTAACTAACTAGTCATATCGTGTTTGTTTAATAAATTACATGTTACATGGCATTTTATACAGAAATATGCAAATCTCAAATAATTTGAGACACAAATATTTCATCCCCTAACTTTTGAACTAATGAGGACTTCCTGTGTATGAGTTAGTAACAAATATGTATCATCATTTTAAATAAATAAATAAAAAATTAAAGCATGAAACTTATCTTACCTTCCAATATTTCTGAACTACTCAATATATCATCATAAGTAGGTTGGTGCTCTTCAACTTCCCTCAAACGAAATAGGTTAGCAAGTAAGAGTTGAAGAATATCACTAAATGGACCCTGAACATCTGTTTCTGTTAGTACTCTTTCCAAGAGTTCTAAAAAAATATTTTAAACTATACTATAAGGAGTAATAATTAGCTCATTCATTTACATATTTTACTGTCATGATTGAAATCNCAGTATATGAGCTTTCCCATTCTTCCATGTTTATCTCTTATGTTTTCCTCTGCAAATGATGTTGCTTTTTTACTTTTTTCACATTCTCTATGTTCTTTAGTATGAGATGATGTTTAATGTTTCTAGTAAAAACTATTAGAAGCATCAAACACCATCTAATACTAGATTTAATAATTGGATACATTAGAAACACCTAGAAGAAAGATCTGCCTAAACCAGATTACAAAATCACAACTTCAAAAAAGCAGACTAATTACATGTTTTCCCAACACAACTTATTTGATTTATTCTGGTTCTGCTAGTCTTTTCTTCTTCAAAATTCTCTTAATGCAAGATCATTCCTTCCTTCCTTTATACAAGTAAAAAAAATGCCAGCATCAATCTTCCAATTACTATATACATAGATATAAATATTTGAAAATTTTCAATATATTTAATTGTTACAAGTAAAATTAATTATAACTTTTATAAATATCAAATTATAAATAGAAGTTATAGTTTAATCCAGTGGTTCCCAAACTGTTTAAGACACTTCCTGTTTTGTACCTCTATATTTCTTGTTAAGAAAATTATGTGGAAATATAAACAACATGCAATATTGTTACTTTTGTTGCAACTCAAAAGTTTCTTCTTCAATTTCAAAAATGACAAGAGAATGCAAATTTAAGGGTTTGATGGAAAAATGGAATATTGCACATTAGGAAGTTTGTGAAAAAGAAGGCTTTGTGTTTCAATTCATCAGTACTTCAATACATAATGTTTTATTAATAGGGGTGTAAACACATTTAACATGCAACTGAATCATTAAAGCTTCTAGTAAGAAAATAGGTCGATGAAGCACAAATCCAAACTTATTACTAATTCATTTTTTGTAGTTTTATAGAATGTGCAGTTATTCCACTATGCCCACAATTTTTGAATGACATTTTCCTTTTAAAATATAATTTTATAAATATTGTTTTGTAGACACTATTAAAAAATTTAGCTTATTGATTTCTAGATATTTGATCTATACAATCATTTCAAAAATAGTTCACAATCCTTATGAGTTTATTTTGAAGAGTTTTAAGTGACACCTAAATTATGAGTATCAACAGTAATTTATTTTATTTAGGAATACAAACAAAATGAAAACATTCATATATCACACTATAGCTATTAAGAATAAAAAATAATAAAAAAAATCACTAAACAAGATTGTTCTTTCCGAAAATTAGCATGAATTAAATATAGCTATATTCTAAATTAATCTTTCTTTGCAATATAGACATTCTGAATGAACTTGTCCAAATTAAGATCATCATCATATATAAAAGTGACAAAATTTTAGTAATCATTTTCAATTTGTCAAAAACCATACATCAAAAATCATTTTTCATATCTGAAATAATTGAACATACTACTTTACATCATCAATGAATGATGCAATGTCAATTATAAAATATGCAGTCATGTACTATACTAATTAATAAAAATTATTAGTTGCTTATAATCAGTTAATGTTTAACCATTTATTTTTTATAATTTTATTAATATGTACTAAAAAACATGGCAAAGCAGATCAAGCTGACAAATAGGAACTGGTCTAGAAGAAAACATTTTTAAAATCACAATCTACTTTATTTCTGACTGATCTAAACATAACTTCTTAAGATTAAAATATGTATATTTGTTAAAAATTCAATAAAAAACTATTTTAATTTCAGTTTCTAAAGACTATAAAAAAATTTTTTAATAATGATTTATTCTTACCAAATCCAAATCCTTCTGGAAATGACATTTTTAAATCCAATAACGTTTCAAAACGATTAAGGAATTGTAATACCATAAGAGCATCGCCAAAATGTTCTATTGGTATTGAACAATTAATAGATGTAACAGGAGGGAGTACCTAAAATAATACTAATTTTTAATTAACAGATAAAAATTTCAAAAAAGTTTCATAATTAAATTTGTTAATAAAATTTTCTTTTTAGAATGATTTTCAAACTTAACCACACTAATTTGTTTAGGAGTACAGAAAACTTCAAAATTTCCCTAGTACTTTTGAGCTAGTTAACTCATTTTCAGACACACCAAACCTAAATTCAAGCACATCTACAAAATTCCAATAATTCAAAAATCATTAATAGTTAAGAACATTTTAAATCTTAAGTTTAAATGTTATGAGGTTAAGACATTCCATGATAAAATTCACTTACAAATAAGAAAAAATACAATATGACAATCACTAAACAGAGGAGCACCATTATATTGATAGGTTTAGCAAAGGGTCTCTGTACATCTTCCATTGTGCTCTTTGTATTTGTGTGATCATATTTTTATGCCATAGATACAATTTCCATACACATTAGGATTTCTACATCCTATGTCAACACCTTTATGTCAGATTTTTTATCAATTTCTGCAGTATATGAGCTTTCCCATTCTTCCATGTTTATCTCTTATGTTTTCCTCTGCAAATGATGTTGCTGTTTTACTTTTTTCACATTCTCTATGTTCTTTAGTATGAGATGATGTTTAATGTTTCTAGTAAAAACTATTAGAAGCATCAAACACCATCTAATACTAGATTTAATAATTGGATACATTAGAAACACCTAGAAGAAAGATCTGCCTAAACCAGATTACAAAATCACAACTTCAAAAAAGCAGACTAATTACATGTTTTCCCAACACAACTTATTTGATTTATTCTGGTTCTGCTAGTCTTTTCTTCTTCAAAATTCTCTTAATGCAAGATCATTCCTTCCTTCCTTTATACAAGTAAAAAAAATGCCAGCATCAATCTTCCAATGTTTGATGAGGAAAGCATCAGAATAAAAATGCTTATCTAAATATGCAATTCTGAAAGATCTCATTTGGAAAGTTTAAGGACAAATCTTACAAAACAACAAAATTAAAGATAAGCATGGTTTTAAGTGATATTTTTAGAAATGTACTATTATTAATATACAAACATTCACAAACATCTTGTTTACTTCTCTGAAATGAAATCAAGACAGAAGATCACTATTTGCTAATTTCTAAAATACAGTATAACAGCGATACCTCGGTTTTTGTCGATAATATATCTGAAAACAATCGGCGAAATCCGAAACTGATGAAAACTGAGGAAATTATTTTTATATGAATTAATGTAAATCCAATTACAGTGGAACCCCGGTTAACGAACTTAATCCGTTCCACGACTCCGTTCGTTAACCGAAGCAATTTTTCCCATAGAAATTAATGCAAATGCAATTAATCCGTTCTAGTCTCCGAAATTTTTGTGATTTTATTTGTAATATACAGTAATTTTCTTTGATGAAAATGTAGGAAAACGTAGTATCTATCATTACAGCAACAAACATGTAAACTTTGTTTAATAAAATAGCACTGTACATACCTTCGTTTGTTGTAGTTGGTGGCAGAAAAGTGGAGATATACGAACCTTAATGCTTAGAAGGGGAATCCCCTCCAAAAAATAACGGGTAGCACTTCATTGGAAGATTCTTCGAGTCGAAGTCTCTTTGGGAAAAAAAACCCACCAGTGGCTAAGTGGTCTTCGTACCTTAAACACGGGGAGTTCGTTCGTGGGTTCGCACCTCGCTCAGACGGGCTGGCCATGTGGAGTTTTCCGGGTTTTCTCCACGTCTGTAACGCCTAAATAGGGGCCAGTTTCCCTTAAAAACACCTCCCAGAAGGCATTCCCCTAGGCAGATCGCCCAAGTGTTGCGTTGCCATAACTTAACAAACAAACAAACTCTTTCCGTAAGGAACAAGAAATTGATCTAAAGTTGATTGTCTTACTATTTTAATCAAAATTTTTCTCAAATGCGATAGCGCATTGTCGTTTATATTGCGTTGTCGTTTTCTATTGCCACTATGACTTTTTTCTTTCTTGGATGCCATATTGATTAAATATATAAATCACAAAACTGAAAAAAGAAGCATAGCACAAACACTCGGAAAAGCAATGCTTAACTCGCGCATGCCTAACACCAACTAAAATTTGACACAAAATACCGTTACGTTCGTTATCCGAGACAAATTTTTTGCAAAATAAAAGTTCGTTAACCGATTTGGTCGTTAACCAGGACGTTCGTTAACCGGGGTTCCACTGTAATTTGTTCTAGACACTCTAAAACACATACAAAAAAACACATTTTACAGAGAATAAATAGTGTGTTTAATACTAAAAACAATAAGATATTAATGTAAAATTAATATAAAAAACTAATGTAAAGAATAAATGAACATTTAACATGCCATTTGAAGGGCTATTGGCTCTGGAAACTTTGTTTGGTGCCGTGATGTAGCTAAAAGAAAAGGAAAGCAACGGAATTGTTTAGCTAGACACACGGGTAATGCTCACACAAATGAGAAACAATGCCACACTGAGCAAGAAAACATGTAGGTTGTCCTATGTTTTCACAAAATTAGCAGGGTGTCACGTGAGCACACAGATGAATCTGGAGCAACTAATGAAAAAGAGAAATTTTTCACGAAAAAATTGACAAAAACCGAAGTCAACAAAAACTGAGGTATTACTGCACTCTCTTCCAAAATGTCATCAAATTTTAAGCCAATTAATGCACATCTTGTGACGTAAAACCCTCTTTCATCTTTTATAGACAACTAGAATACAGTCACTATTGTTGTTTACCATTTCATTATTCTATATTCATATTTTAAGTACTTGTAACTATAGATATTTGTTTACAAATATATTTTTATAACACTAAATATTACAAATTAAACATAACATCTAAGCATTACAAATGAGAATTTTACAACCGGAAAAAAACTAAGTTCAATTGTGTTATTGGTATCATTAACTTAAAAATTGCATAATTTAAAAAAAATGTGTAAACTCAAATAAATTTAGTAAAAATGTTTTAAGTTATTTTATTCAATTATTAGGCATTTCTAAAAATGCAATCTTAATGTAATATTAAGATTTTAATATTGAGAGAACTTAGTATACACAGTTAAAAAACCTTCAGATTTAAGCAAAATACCGACATATCATTTTCAGAAGATATAAAAGCAAACAGTATTCACTTTCAAAATTTACTGAAAATACATTTATCAAATTGGTATAAATACTAAAACTTAATTTATGTTTTAAATGTAATTTTATCAATATATAATATATATAACAACACAGTAAATACTGTCGCAAGTAACTGAACTAATTTTAAATATCAATATGATCAACACAAAACATCAGTTTAAAAAATTAAATATTTGGCTATTTCATATAAAAATAGTTCAATATTTTAGATAATTTGAGTGTAAAAATTCCAAAATAAATTTCATCATTACTAGAGATAAGCCAAACATTTCTTCCAAAAATCTAAATTCAGGAAATTTTTGAACAAAAATGAAATTTTACATAAAAAAACCACACAGTTTTTTTAACAAAAATAAAATAAAAAAAAAAATACATACAAGAGTTTGTAGAGGAAAAAAAAAGTTAATAAAATAAGTTCAATGTATAGACGAAAGCAAATTATTATTATTAATACATTCTTTCAAACAAATATATGAGCAATAAAAAATTTACCACCAGATGATGGAAATTAATAGAAATTTCAATAATTCATTCTATAAAATTATAACCCTTACTTTTAAATCATCACATTCCAAATCATCACGTGGTTTCTTCCATTCCATCATTAATTCTGCTAAAGCTCTCTTTTCTTCTTTTTGTTTCTGTTTTTCCTTTAAATAAAATCATTATATATCAATCCATTCAATCACATTCTTAATAGCAAAAAATTTTAGCATTTTAAACCCAATATTTAAACTTCATAAAACAGAAAACAAGTGCTAATAATATTAAAACACACCTTGTTACCAGCGTGACAGTATTTGTATGTTTGGTTTCATATTTGTCATATGTGAGATTTTTATTATTATTTTTCATTTTAAGATAAAACAGTGACCAATAAACTAGTGCAATGGTTCCTAATTAGTGGTACACGAAATTGCATGAAGGGGTTTGTGCGGCAATCTAAAATTGGTTGATTTAAAAGTTAAATGCATGAGATAAAGCAATAAAAAAAAATAATGGGGGGACCATAAAAAATTTGGCAATTTACAACATGATGTTGAATGCACAAATTCGTTTACTTATAACTAAAAATATTCTCGAAATTTCATAAAAAAAAAAATGCATTTGTGACAATACCTAAATGAAATTCTTATGCAAGAAACAAAAATTGTACAATTAACACAATTTGTTTTCGTGAAATTAATTTTGAAAATTTTTGTCGCTGTTATTTCTCGCGCATGACAACGCGACTTCTCGCAGAGTATAATGAGACTTCACTGAGTTTAATAATCAGTTGCGACATCTTGCTTCTAAATCCGGCTAGAATTTATGATGTCAGCAAAGCGGCAATAAAATATTTACTACCAGTTTGCACAACATACCTCTGCGAGAGCGGATTTTCGGCCATGACAAACATGAAAACTAAACATCTTCGCCAACTTCAACTCAAAGATGACTTAAGATTGAAGCTGACCAAAAAGCAACCAGATTTTACAAAGTTATGCAAAGAAAATCGTGCACATTTGTCACATTAAAATTAAATAACCTTATGTTATTTTCATTATTATTAGAACTGTATTTTAAAGGTAATAAATGTAAAAAAAAAAAACTTATTCTATTTATCACTAGCTGTCTACCCACAGCTTCGCCTGCATTATATCAAATTTTCTCCTGGGAGTAAGATATTTTCTTGCAGTAAAATGTAGCCTATGTCCATCTCCAACATGTAAGCTAAAGCTATCTCTGTGCCAAATTTTATTAAAACCTGTTCAGCGGTTTAGACATGAAAAGGTAACAGACAGACTTGCCTTCGAATTTATAATATTAGTATGGATTAATATGAATTTCTGATATAAGGGGTACGCGAGTTTGAGTTCTTTTTTTGAAGTGGTACGCAGGAAAAACTAATTGGGTACCATTGAACTAGTGGTATGTGAACTGATAGGATGACCAATGTTTTCTTGATGTGATTGGGTCTTATCAACAATCTCATACTTCTATTATTATTCTAACATTTACAAGAAAATGTGAAATCTACTTTTCATCTAAACAATTAAACATTAGTCCCATTCAATTACATTTCTTCTCAAAATGACTTTAGTTAGAAATAAAATATCCAGGAATTAATCAGCACAAACAAATTTTTGATTACTTTCTTAGTAATTTTTACAAGTTGCATTGAAATCATACCCAATCAGAAAATTGTACTCAAAGGTTTAATTAACAGAAATAAATACCATATTTACTCTAATAATCCACACATCCCAGTTTTTAAATAATATCTTAAAACCTGGGATGTGCAAATTATTCAAGTAAATAAGGAAAGATAAACAAAAAAGCTAGTTTATCTATATGATAAGTTTAAAAAACAGAAAAAAATTTAAATTAAATGCATTTAATTCTTTTTTTTTAAAAGTAAATATACAACTTCATCATCATAAACAAAAATCAATCAAATACAAAAATGTTCAATGCTGGGAGATATATTCATAAAACATCTCAAAACATTTAAATGCTGAAGATTTTAGCATTTAGTTGATTGTTAAAAATTTTATTTTAAATAAATTCATTTCTTTCTTTAATAGTTCAATTTATAATAATAATAACTAAATAGTGTGTTAATGTAGTGCCATTTTAAATACCAACTAATTGTGCATAAACTAGCAGACCCCGCCATGTATTGTTGTGGCTCAAAAGGTATCTATTATAAATGTATAACACTTCTCGTGGGGGGAATTTTTTGAAAAATCCCTTCTTAACACGTTAACTGCTTGTTGTAATATGATACTTTCCGTCAGGGGGGGCCAAAAAATGAAAATTTGATATATAATAATTGAATATAACGTAAATAAAAGGGTCGATGTACAACAGTCAGGAGAGCGACGATAAGAAAAGTATATATAAACAAAGACCGGGGAGTCGTATGACCTTGAACCTGACACTGCTTTCTCCCAGGCAATAAATTTTACAACCCCACTGTAATTAGACGTCCTTCCCTACTTAAAAGTATTTACATCTGTGTGTTAAAGTATTTCACACTTTGTTTCGACTGCAAATGATGTTTTTTTTCTGTAAATATATATTAAAACGCACTTATATACTTTAATTTTTTTTTAATAATATTATTTACTTTATATGCGATAAAAGAGGATAATTAAACTAATTTTCGATATTTTAAATTATTTACTATTAAAATAAACCACTATCAGATATAAAATAGAGTTTTATTTAAAAAAAAAACTACGACCGCTGACCTTGTATCGCGTCACGACGCCACAAGACGCGCCTGCGGTCGTACCTAGAATCTGTTTGCCATACGACCGCCGGCGTTCGAAGCTAACTGAATAGATGTCCACGAGAGGCCAGCACTAAGCATGCAGAAAACGTCGTACGAGGCCAGGGAAATTTAACCTTGAGTAAAACTACATTGTTTACGTCTACCGGCGGTCGTATGGCGCTGTACGGGAATTTCCATTACGGCGGCGCGCGCGTCGTATGGCGTTAAACGTGTTAATGTACATTCTCTTGACGTACCCTATTAAAATGCAATCAAAAATGCATCTAAAATAGTGTAATAGAAGCCAATTTCTTCACAGTAAGCCTTAACCCTGTCCCTCTCCCCTCAGTGGGGGGAATTTCGACATGTATATTATATAAAAACACATGTGTATTCGAATGCAACTTTGTGTCATAATTTCAAAGGAATTGGTAGGAACAAACAAACATTACATTTTTATTTATATAGATAGATAGAAGATGATCTGCTTTAGTGCATCCTCACAGAAAAAGCAAACTTAAGTCATCATACTCGCAGAGTTAGAGCCATCTGTTGGACATAAAAGCCTTAATCCTAGATGATATCTTTTAATTTATATAAATGTTTAACAGAATAATATACAGCCTATGTACACCCTGAAATTCCATTCTAAATATTGGTGAAAGAATTTTTGAAATGGATGAGTAGTTTCGGAGATTACCTGCTGCATACAAACTTACTTACATACTTATAAACATTACCTCTTTATAATATTAGTATAGATATAAACAAGTTAAATACTAATATTTATACTCACTTTTTCTTTCTCAACTCTAATATTAATTTTTTCTTCCAAAGATTTTGATAATTTATCAGAGCCTTTTTCTTTTTTAACTGAAACTTGTTGCATATTTTCTTTCAAGGTAGAAATTTCCTTAACTTTACTAGGCGATTTTGAATTATTCCCTAAAATATGATAAAGTTTTCTTATTGCTAAGAACTTTAATAATCAAAATTATAACTGTTTTTTAAAATAAACAAAAAAATACCAATTAAAAGTCAATTTTATTACCTTCAACATGCTTTCTCATTCATTACATTACATATTATATTGGCTATTATTTGTTAAATTTTATTATCCATAATAGTTCATAATTATCTAATCTAGTTAGAAAATTATATAACATACCTTTCAAGAATTAAACTGAAAGCTAATAATTTTGAAACGTAGTAAATTAATAAATATTCAAAGCCAACACTTTAACTCAAAAATAAACATGTTTTAAATGTTACATTAACACATCTCTCATATCAAAACTGGAATACAGTCTTAATCTCACATTTAGTCAATGTAACTCAAATTTTCATATCATAAGAAAACATGTTAAAATCTAATTCTTAATAAAATTTCATTTCAGAATGAAGTGTTACACATTTAACATATCAATAAGCTATAGTCATACACATACAAATATTACTTACAGTCTTTACAATTACTTGCATCTTTGGAACTCTTACTTTTAATTTTAGGTGAAGTTAACTTTACATTTCCTGGGGAATTACTTATTTTCTTTTTTGAAGACATGAAAAATGTGGGAGGTGGACCAGCAAACATTTCTTTAAAAAGTTCAGAAGAAACATTATATTTTGATAATGTTTCATCCTGTAATAAATAAATTTTAATAGTATTCAGTAAGTTTATTAATTAAAAAAACCAAAGTAAAAAAAAATCTGAAATTTTACAAATATGAAAATAAATTAGAAATAAAACATCTGTAAACTTTAATATATCAAATGATGATTTAAGAAAATGAAAGAAATTCCAATGATTGTGAGATTTTAGGAAATACAATAAAACAACTGCATTAACTCAAAGCTGTCTATAGGTCCAAAGCAGAGAAGATTACTGGCATTCTGATTGGGACACAACGAGGGCCTTGACATCATTCAAAAGTATCGAACTGTGTACAGTTTTGTAATCAGTCTGAATACACTCAAGAAATGGCAAAATAACAAAATCAGATACTAACCCCTTAAACTTTGACTTAAGAAGGTTTTATTGTATTTCATTAGAAAATTATTAATCTCTATATCTCTATTTGTAATATAATTTCATCAAACAAAACATTTTGTTCTATTTGAGTCATTTTCAGTTTCAATAACTAATAATATACAAACTTCTCAGAGTTAGTTAAATAATAGAACAAACTTGAATTCTTTGTAGAATTGCAAATTCTACAAAGAATAAAATATTTAAATTAGTTTTCAAGATTTCTTAAGTTTGAAGTAATATTTTAAAATGTTTATACTATATGATTTTTATTATTTTTAATTCCACATATGTTTTAGTTTGTTTTGAGCATATTAAAAATTGTTATTCTTAATTTAAGAATTGTAGTCAGCTCAAATTGTGTATGATTAAAGAATGTTTATATTTAGAACTAGAACAAGTTAAAACAAATGACTACAGAAGCACACCTACATGCTATCATAGACTTCACATTTTTGGAATCACCAGAAACCAATGTAAGAAGCATCTTGTTAAAGCTGCAAATTGAAGGCATTGAAAAGGGAGTGAAGACAATTCTACTGTTTGGGCATAAGTTTGTATCAAAATGCAATAAAAAGAACATGCCAAACAACTACCAGATTAAATTGAGCTACTTTACTGATTTAATCCAGTACTTTGACATATTACTAAAATATTGGGCTTCAAGATGTTTATATATAACAAAAAGAATTCTGAGGAAGTAGCACAATTAGAATATACTTAAGTTACTGGATTGGAAAGTTGAGGTTTCAAAGGTTATGTCAGCAGCTAAACTTTCAAAATATAATTCATTGAGATCATACAATACACAAGTTACGATTATGTTATCAAGCAAGACAATGGTATATTGATAACAACAGTATAAAATTGCTGTGTTCCTCAAGGCATGTGCCTTGAGGAACACAGCAAGTATAAAGTTAAGATAGAAAGTCAGCTAAGTAATGCACAATACATTAATACATCTACGGTATCGTGTTTCAATGGTCGTGTATATTCACAATACATTAGCTTAAAAATGATCCATTAATAGAATTTTATCTAAAATTGACAACAAACAAACTAATAAACGATTCCTTTCATTTTTACAAACAAGAATCCCTTCTAGTGTTAGAGTACCAAAGCTTTTTGATATGGTAAAAACAGGTAGTTGGCCATTAAGGTTGCTTAAACTAGGCAATGTTAAAGCAAATTCTTATGTCTACCAACTACCTTCTTGTCCACATTTTTATTTAATTAATTCTTAATTACTGTAAAATTCCAGTTATTTTAGATGTTGGAGTTAAATGAGGTGTATTGTAATGGATAGTGTTATAATAAAATATTGATCTCAAGTCTTTCCAGTTAATTAATGAATCAAATTCATTCAATCATTGATTGCTTGATAGCCATCAATTTAATGTCACTCTATGTCATACCCTTTGATGCCCCTCAGATCCAAGAAGAATCCAAGATTTTTCAGGCAGCAACTAACAATGCTCACATGCTGTGAAAGTCTGTAAGAAAGGACAAGTGTTTGTGCTTAACATTTTGGCCATGTCTTTGCTAAGCTGGGATTATGAAACAGAGCTGTTTGATAGATTTTCAAAGAAGAATAGAAATTGTTTCATTGAAATTTATAAATCTATAGGGACTCAGATTTTGTTTTAATTTATTTATTAAATTTCTGTCAAATAGACATAAAATGAAATAAGCTGAAGCTAACTAATGTTAGCTTTGGTTGCTTCCATTTGTTGATACAAGTTGTTATCATTTTACAAAACAGACTACCGAGCAATAGTTTGTAGAGGAATAGATGACATTTTTTATGTTCATTGGTTCTGTAGAACTACATCATGAGTGGTATCAAAAATGGCAAATTTGCTCAATCATCAAAGCAAAACATTCACAGTAACCATAAAAATTCTCTCTGACATCATGTCAAAAGTGACAGCATTATCCAATTTGCAGTGGCCTTTACAGCCAGGTCAAGAGAAGTTACTCGCCCCTACCCAGAATTTAGAAAATGTGCTATATAAATGTTTAGCATAAATTAATTTTAAAGTTAGCTATGCGGTTAACAGCACATTACATATTATTTAAGCACTTTCATTTGTTGAGATGAATCCTAATGAATTTGTCACAACTTTAAATTATAACAGCCTTTACCCTTCTATACATATAGCACAGGTCTTCTTGTTAACTAGAGATTGTTTTTTTGTTAAATAAATTCAAAACTGTAGCAGATTACATTGACCCGCTTCTAATAAGTCTCACTTCACATGGAACAATAAATTGTATTTATAAAAAGAGGGATCCCTACGAGATTCCTAATATCAAGAAATATTGCTTAGATAATCTTGAAATAAGCAGAGGAACCATGTGTAAAAGAATTTTTAAACTATATTAAATTCATAGCATATGTTGACATGTTTATTGTAAAGAAGGGTAAAGTTGAAAAAACCTGACTTCAAGAAGTATAAATATAAATTCAGTAGATATAAATCATTGTTTAATAAAGTAATTTGACAGCAATGATTTTTTTCATATAATCATGTACAAACAGTGCTGACCTTCACACAAACACATTCAAATCTATAGCTCTAAATTCTTTCATACACCACCAAAATCTATTATGAGAATGCTAGAGTATTTCACCAAAACCATTTTACTTGAAATAGGCTGATTTGTTCTAATTGTAAAAATGACAAGTACATATATTTTATAAAGAATTTTAAAAGGAATGAAAACATACTTGTTCTTTTAATAAATATGATTTGTTGTAGACAGTTATTCTCAACACTACTTTCTTCCTTTTTATGAAAATCAGAATATAAGGAAACTCCATAACTTATTTCACAACACACATTTCAATCTGTTTGCTTAAGAACAATCCTCCTCAGTTAGGGTCAAATTATTGATATAAACTCTGTAACGTAACTGTATCTGTATGCTACACTGGATATCTATAGCAATAGTTATAAACTACCATAAGGCATTTTCCATAAAAACTTTCTTACGGTTTACGAAGCAGTCCACCATGAGCATGTGCAAAATCATTGGTAGTTATTGCCAGATCTAACACTATAATTATTTATTAATTTTATTATTTTTCTATTATCTTATGACCAAAGTAATTCTTATCTTAAATCAAATACGATACGACCATACGGTTACATTAGCATTGTTGATCAAAAGTTGTGTTTCAATCAATTTATGAAAGTTTCATCAGTTGCTTCCGGCATAACTTCTGATTGTACATTGACTGATGGTGACTTAGCGTATGTGCAGTTGGTCAATTCTCCCTATCCCTACCATAAAAGTTTGATCAATCCAAACTTTTCTTACGAAATACGATACAGCCATACGAATACAATAATACGGAGTTTATAACCATGCTTTATGGACACGGTTATGTTACAGAGTTTATAACTCGACCCTTAGTAAAAAGATTATAATTACACAAAATACACATACTTTTCACGACTTACATATTTCTATCAAAATAACTAATATATTGATGTAATGTCACTTGCTAATTGTACTAATTGGCTCCTCCAGTGATTAACTGTAAAGTGATAATCAATTTTCCAATAATTAGAGTAATTAATAAAAAAATACTCCATTGGAAAAAAGCAATAATTTTTATTTTAAAAAGTAATAAATATTAAAATGATACTTTATTAACAACAATAATTCGGGATAACCATAGAGACATACCCAGTTTCATTAGAAAGTTTTATTCAAACTGAAAATGCTATATTACAGCACTATTAAATTTTTACTGTATTTTCACAGAATGACCAGCATGCCAGTCTATCCGTAGGAGACCAGAAAATTATACATCCCTCTCTAGAGGGCACATTAAAAATGAAAGTCAAGTCATATAAAAACTAACAAGTTTTATTATAAAACTGCCAGCATTACATCAAAAACTACGATTATATGTTTAATTTCTTCATTTTATCTTATTTCTAACATGTAAAATACTGGCGACATTCCAAAAGTATTGAGTGTTGAACATAAGATTGTGTTATTAATTAAACACTTGGCTTTTTTCCATCTTTATTCAGTTGATTCGGGTACTTAGCCCCTCATCAGTCAACATTAAACACGCAATGTATGCAATGACACTTATACACCACAAGTTCGCATTCTCCCAACTAGAAGGATAAGTTGACTGCATCAACTTTATAAAATCTACATACATTGTTAANTTTCCATCTTTATTCAGTTGATTCGGGTACTTAGCCCCTCATCAGTCAACATTAAACAAGCAATGTATGCAATGACACTTATACACCACAAGTTCGCATTCTCCCAACTAGAAGGATAAGTTGACTGCATCAACTTTATAAAATCTACATACATTGTTAACCCCTTCTGAGCCGCGCTCGAGTGTGACTCGAGCAAGTTTTATAGTCTTACGTCGTTAAGGCCACTTTTGAAAAAATTATTTTTTTTTGAATTTTTGGAATGTTTTTTAGGTCCCCAAATTTTTTTCAGAATTTTTTGCACATGCGAAAAATTTTTATCGCGATTTTAATGAGCCTATGATAAGGCTCGATGAAGGCTTAATGTTTTTTTAATGGGAGTTTTTTATCAAAATTAATTTATCATTCTAAAGTTGTAGCGCACCGATTTTCCTTCGGTAAAGTTATTTAAAGCTGCTTTCTGATGTCAAAAACGACTTCCGATAGTTTTTTAATTTTTTTAATTAATAGATTTTATTATATAGAAGTTTAATTAATTAGGGGGGGTCGGAAATCGCAATAAAAATTATAATTTTTTTAAAATATTTAAAAATATACCGCCAGATTGAAGTCACCCTACTTNTTCTCATTCATTACATTACATATTATATTGGCTATTATTTGTTAAATTTTATTATCCATAATAGTTCATAATTATCTAATCTAGTTAGAAAATTATATAACATACCTTTCAAGAATTAAACTGAAAGCTAATAATTTTGAAACGTAGTAAATTAATAAATATTCAAAGCCAACACTTTAACTCAAAAATAAACATGTTTTAAATGTTACATTAACACATCTCTCATATCAAAACTGGAATACAGTCTTAATCTCACATTTAGTCAATGTAAGTCAAATTTTCATATCATAAGAAAACATGTTAAAATCTAATTCTTAATAAAATTTCATTTCAGAATGAAGTGTTACACATTTAACTATAGTCATACACATACAAATATTACTTACAGTCTTTACAATTACTTGCATCTTTGGAACTCTTACTTTTAATTTTAGGTGAAGTTAACTTTACATTTCCTGGGGAATTACTTATTTTCTTTTTTGAAGACATGAAAAATGTGGGAGGTGGACCAGCAAACATTTCTTTAAAAAGTTCAGAAGAAACATTATATTTTGATAATGTTTCATCCTGTAATAAATAAATTTTAATAGTATTCAGTAAGTTTATTAATTAAAAAAACCAAAGTAAAAAAAAATCTGAAATTTTACAAATATGAAAATAAATTAGAAATAAAACATCTGTAAACTTTAATATATCAAATGATGATTTAAGAAAATGAAAGAAATTCCAATGATTGTGAGATTTTAGGAAATACAATAAAACAACTGCATTAACTCAAAGCTGTCTATAGGTCCAAAGCAGAGAAGATTACTGGCATTCTGATTGGGACACAACGAGGGCCTTGACATCATTCAAAAGTATCGAACTGTGTACAGTTTTGTAATCAGTCTGAATACACTCAAGAAATGGCAAAATAACAAAATCAGATACTAACCCCTTAAACTTTGACTTAAGAAGGTTTTATTGTATTTCATTAGAAAATTATTAATCTCTATATCTCTATTTGTAATATAATTTCATCAAACAAAACATTTTGTTCTATTTGAGTCATTTTCAGTTTCAATAACTAATAATATACAAACTTCTCAGAGTTAGTTAAATAATAGAACAAACTTGAATTCTTTGTAGAATTGCAAATTCTACAAAGAATAAAATATTTAAATATTTTTTTATTTACCTTTGTTTTCAATATTCCATCTTTCATTTCAACAGAATTTTTTATAAGCAGTTTTACTTTCTCTCTGGTAAACTGTCCTTTAGACCGACTAAAAAAAAAATAAATTAGGGTGTACTATAGGTTTTTGTCAATTATAAGCTGGGAATTATTTTGAACATTAAGATCTGCATTTTAATATAAATATTAAAACTTAATCTATGTTATTTTTAAGTAGATATCTTAATAAATTAAAATACAGATTACAATACAACAACAAAACATTCACTCTCATTACCAGCTAAATAATCATTGCAGTCCTAATAAATATTGTAATGTATTTTTAATGTAAGCATGTAACAATTCAAGGTCAGTACATTGCTTTTTATCCCTCACTGAAACTTATAATGGGAGTGGTGAAATTTTGGTGGAAAAGCAGGTTGTTGTTGATGGATTTTTGAAAACCTGACTTTAACTCTGTGGAAATATTTTCCAAAATTCTGCAGGCTATCTGAAGATGATAAATTTACAGTCATAGAGAAGACATATCACAGATCATCAATCTGTCAAAATTGGCAAAATTATTATCTCCACAGACTGAATGTGATCAGCAGCAAAGAATACAACAAATAAAAATGCATGAACTGTGCAAAGTCTGCCACATGATCCAAAATGTCCTATATACACCATTGTTAAGTTGACTGACAATCTTTCTTTGCTTTCTTTCCGCCAATGGCGGCAAAGAAAGTTTCTTTGCCGCCAATGGCATCAACTGAATGCAAAGGGTTAATCAGATGTCATGCAAGTCAAAAAAAATTGGGAGGGTTGTATACAGGCACACAATTGCAATTGTTTAAGGTATAAATCTGTGTTTGTGTTATTAGAAGGACAAAATGTAAATGAATAAAGTCTTGGTGGTTATCACATTCCAAATCAATATGTATCAGTTCAGGTGGTGATGTACTTGAAGTTTTCACGTCAGAAGTTTTCATGCTGGGTTTTCTTATGACCTTCATACAATCTGCATTATTCAGCATTAGTCATTTTGGGTTTTTCTGATTTCTTTTAAATTTTTCTTTCCAATGATATAAGTTTCTTACATTTCTGTTCATATTTCCTTTGCAATTTTTTTCAACATTATGAAAATTTTCTTCAATTTGCACACTTATTGGCATAACTTTACAAATTCCATTTTATCAGTTATTATTGCTAAAGAATATTGTAAATCCTCTCATTTTGTACAAATCAATATTAATTTCAATGTCCAATCTCTTTGCAATCCAAAATTATACACTGCTATACAATGTTGCCATTTTCAATGTTCATGCACAACAGAAAATTCCTCCTCACAGCTGCACACCCCTTTACCCACCATTTTAAATACAAACATAAACCCTCTACCCAACAAAATTTTAGTCATTAGATTATCATTTATAGTTTACGAGATATAAGCATGACAAATCTTGCCATTCTCTTGGTTGTTTCAGTCTTCGTAGACCCTCTATACCAAACTGAATTTAAAGGCATATTCAGGCAAAAATGAACAAGATATACAGATGCATTCCCTGACATTTGATGCCATTTCCTGCTAATAATCTTATTTCTTGACTTTCCAGGCATGTACAGACTCTGTATATCAACACATCAGATATATCTGTAAATGAGTCCAGGATCACCTTGGAAACTTAGAAATTTTATTAATAAAAATTGTATCAATCATCAAAACAATCATAATATTCACCTATTCTACACTGTGTTTCCTACTCACAACATCATTTTTATTACAATGAAGTGGAAGATTCTCAAGAATAACCAGTGTTGATTTATAAGGGAAGGTTCAGGACTGCCCCCCTCAAGTTTCAAATAAATTTGATTTTGATTTATATTGTAATAGTACTCTACTATATAAATCAATAATAAAGCCACTCAATGCAACTTTTATGCATTCATGAGAAAAACAAATTTAAAGTTTAAAGTTTACCATATTTGTTGTAACTAAGTTTTGAGATATGACTGTACTGTACTGTCATATCTCAAAACATTGGCAGTATATAATTCTGCAAAAATGACTAGTTTTCCAAGAAGTTCAAACATGCTATACACAGTTCACACTTATTTGTAATATTACTTGTGTGTGCAGATGAAGCAGTACTGTCATATATTCTGTGTGTATTCATTACATGTCAAGTTACAATTCTTCTGTTAGAAAATCACTTATGGCTGCTGCTATTTTCGTTGTGTATTTGTCTCTTTAATCCGATTTTCAGATAATTGATATTTGATAATAATCCAATAATTGATCTTATAAAATTTGCATATACCAGAAATTATTTTGAAGTTTATAATGATTACTATAGACAAATAGATGGTGTCAGTATGGGGTCAAAGATGGGGCCAAAACTTGCAGAATTAGTGATGAAAAATATAGATGAAAAAATACAAAGTATCCCTGGGGTTAAAATAGTAATGAGATATGTTGATGATTATTTGTTGATTTATAACAATAAAATAACGAATGATACAATAATATTAAAAACTATAAATAATATAAATGAAGATGTAAAATTTGATATTGAATTGGAAAAATATAACCAGATAAATTTTTTAGATATAACAATTACCAACGAAGTAAACAAATTTTCTTTCAAAACTTTTAAAAAAACATGTAACGTCAATAAAACCATCAACTATCAATCCTGCATCCCTGAAACTATAAAAAAGAACACCTATATAATGGGTCTAAAAAACATATATACAAGAACTACTAATAACAATAATCGTGAAATAGAATTAAAAGAGTTAGAAAAGACGTTTATTTTGAATAATTACCCCAGTTATAAATTAAAAATGTGGCACAACCAATATTATAACAACAGATTTAATACCAAATATAAAAAAGATAAGAGGTATAATAGTTTTCCTTATATTAATGAGATTTATAATAATTGCAACAAATTTTTAAAAAGAGAAAATATTGTGTTGGCCCCATCTTTGACCAATAAAATTTCGCGTAGTATTTATAATAATAATAATAAATATAAAATAAAAGTGGATAATTTAAAAAAATCAGGTGTAGTATATAAAATTAATTGTGATTGTCAAAAACCGAAAAATTATATAGGTGAAACAAGTAGAACTTTAGAATTAAGAATTAAAGAACATGAAGCAGCTATTAGACTAAAACATAATAATTCTCCGTGGTTCGACCATATAAAAAATAGTAAATGTAAAATAGATAGAAATAACATAAAAATAATTCACTTAGAAAAAGATATGTATAAACGCAAATTTAAAGAACATATAGAGATTATAAAATGTAAAGATGATTTAATAAACATTTCAAATGGTATGCAAATAGATCAAATGTGGTATAATATAATAGAGGGCGCTAATAGATAAATTGGTTTGTAATGTCTGGTGACATAAAATATTAAAGTGAAATATATTGTAAAAGTGTGAATGTATCCTCTTAAGTGTGTTAATAGTAATTACGTGTTATTAACCGAAAAAAACGTTCATTATTGCTGCAACATTTCAATAAAGAGCATACGAATTTTCTTGAAAAAAGTTGTAATTATAAAGGTTTTTATGAACATTTGTAAAGTGTGAGTATTGTTATGTTTTTTGATGTAAAAAATATACAATGTTATAAAGTAATAATTATAAATATATTGATATATTAGGTGCAACGTATTAATGTGAATATGTAGTTGAAGTGTTTTTTAAATGGCTGTATTTTTAATCTTTTCCAACGTTACCAATTATACACCGAGGTTTTTAGAAAACAGAATCTGAGGTAACGTATAAGTGTTACAATTGTTTAATAGTTTTATGTCAGTAAATATTATCTACACGCGAAGAATTTTTGTAATCTCACTAATTGTATATAATTTTTAAGTAATTGTATAAAAATTTTTTAAAACAGTTTGTACTGAAGAGGGACTTAAATTACAATTGAGTCCAAAATGCATATAACAAACCAATAAAAGAAGTTCATAACCTGAATGCTGTATATGATAGTCTACCAAACTGAAAATCGGATTAAAGAGACAAATACACAATTCTTCTGTTGTTTTTTAGTTCATCTGTGAACTGCATACAAAAACGCATAAACTAATAAAGGCTAGAAACATGTATATAATCAAGTATTCATTCCTTTATTTTAATGCACACATTTTCAACAAATACAACATAGAAATAATCTTTGTACAACCAAAAAAATTTCAAATTTTTTAAATATGTAATTCTCTTGTTAAAAATGTGTTCCATTTAATTATAAATTTTAAAGAAAAGATTTGAACTTGTATATGTATTATTCTTAGTAGAAGTTAGTAGTGACCTTATGCCCTAGCCTACAACCACTTGGTGAAAAAATGCTTTTGAGACTTGCATCAAGTAGCTTTATTATTGATTTATAGTAGGATAGTATTATAATACATATGAAACTCATTTAAATTTGAGCCTCCTCTTGTCAGTATTTTTTACAGCACTTGAAATCCATTTTTAGTTGTTCCACACATGCTTTAAAACTAACCTTAAAAGATTTTATGTTCATTACATCCTGAGAGTGGATGTAAATCCCTTTCACTATGCAAGAGTCATTACAACAGTCAGCATAGTTCATCATAAGAAAGAAAAAAGTGGATTCGATTTGTCTTTTGTGTACTTTCACTAAATTTTTTGAACCTATTGATGGTCCAATTCTCTTGTTTGGAATGAAAAGCAACATTAAATAGTTCATTCACAACAAAAAAGCTATAGATAGCAAGTTGTCTTAGATACATTGTTTATGCCACCTAAAACAACTTGCTACCTTGAGTTAACATTTTTAACTTTGAAATAACCAAATACTTATGTACCAGTGTATCAAATTCATTTATCAGTAAAGACTTTGCTGCAAAGAACCTCTTCTAGCAGAGCAATACCCAAGAATGAGATAAACTATACATGTTCCCATAACATTGAATTAATCTGTCATCTGGAAAGGATATACACCTTCCATTACTCACTTCAAAGTTCTCTGAAATTCTAATGCTAAAACTAAACTTAATATTACATTAATGTATTAAAATGAAGAATTAACAGAAGCAATTGAAGCAGCACTTGAATTGAATATTTCATCATATTTACTTATACTGATTGGCAAGTTTATATATATAGGCTTGTCAATAAATATACAAGGGCAAGATTAAAAGTTCTCAGACTAGTAGTGAAAAAATGAGTTTTTTTTTTTTTTTAAATTTTAAAAATGCATTTATTTCTCAATGTAGTCTCCCTTTAGTTCAATACACTTTGTCCAAAGTTTCTCCAATAACTGGATTCAGTCCCTGAAATGCGATTCTGGAAGGTCTTCAAAATATCCATTTACCACTGATATCACTTTTTCACTTGATCAAAAACGTTTTCTAGCCAAAAATTTCTTAAGATTTGGGAATAGATGAGTCAGAGGGAGCCAAATCTGGCAAATAGGGAAGATGTTCCAACAATTCATACTGTAAATCCCTCAATTTTCCCTTTGCCAAAGCACCTTTGTGAGAGGGTCCATCGTCCTGGTGAAAGATTTTTTTTTCTTTCTTTTGCAAACCAGGCCTTTTCTCTCTAATTTTTTCATCTAGCTGGTCAAGATGATGTGTGTAGTATTCCCCATTAATTGTTTGACCCTTTGACAGGTAGTCAATTAAAAGGATACCTTTGGAATCTCAAAAAACACTAGCCATAACCTTTCCAGCCAATGCAATTGTCTTTGCTTTCTTCAATGCAGGTTCTACCCACTGCTTGGACTGTTGTTTTGACTCAGGTGTAAAGTGGTGAACCCATGTTTCATCCATTGTAACAAATCTGTGCAAAAAATTGGTTGGATCCTTCTTAAAACAGTACAAACATTGCTGAGAAAGTTGATTCCTCATTCGTTTGTGATCAGCATTTAACAAATGCAGCACTCACCTTGCACAAAGCTTTCTCACACTAAGTTTTCATATAAAATGTGCCATACCATTTCTTCTAAGATGCCTACAGCCTTAGCTATCTCATACACCTTTAATTGCCAATCATCTAGAACCATATTATGTATCTTCTTGATATTTTCTTCAGTAGTTCCAGTTTTTGACTGTCCTTCACACAAATCATCTTGAATCGATGTATAACCACGTTTAAACTCAGCTGCCCATTTATTTACTGTTGACAACAAAGGTGCAGACTCACTTTTACCAACTTTGGATGAATTTCTATTGGCAATAAACCATCCAAAACGAAGAATTTTATGACAAAATGGCATTCAAGTTCATTCATTTTGTCAAAAACACATAAAATGCTTACTTTAAACAGCCATATAAAACAAACTATTTGTCTGATCAAATTCACATTTGGTATTTACTTTTGCAACAAGTGCAACAACTTAACAAAACAGTAATTTCATTTGTAGCAGTGCCATCTATGGGCTAGGCCAGGGGTGGCCAACAGTTTTTGCCCCTGGGCTGAATTGGAAAGAAAACTTTTTTCACTGGCCAAACCAGAGGCTGCCCTAGGAAGATTTTGAGGTGGTGTGCGATCTCATTGTGGTGTCACCCCCATAGAGACTAAATTGTACATAGAGATTACATATACATTTTTCACATTATCATGCTTTATCAACATTCTATGCTGTACTTAAGACATTTGTAATGGGGGGTTAACTCTAAATGCACAGTGAGGTTGTTGACCTTTTTCAGTAGCTAATATTGAAAGATTAATTGTGGGCTGCATAAATTCACTAGACGGGATGGATCCAGCCCGCAGGCTGTATGTTGGTCATGCTTGGGCTAGGCCGAGATCCTTTTACCTTGCCCTCGTAAGCAAACAACACTATCAAGTAAAAAAAATCTAGATTCTAATACACACACAGTAAAACCTGTATAAAACATACCTAAATGAAAAAAAATTCTTCAAAATGCAGCAATTTTGTGTGTTAAAAAAACTGTTCAAAACAAACCCACCAAATGAGAAAAATATTCAGTACCAGGCAGGTCTGATTTACACAGGTTTTACTATGTATGTACTGTACTGTTCATATAGTTGGATTTATTTTTAGCTATTTAAACATCTTCAGCTTCTTCAAAAAATTTTCAATGTATTTAATACAAAAGCAGTTTTAAAGACATAATAAAATTTTTTGAAGATGTTAACAATTCATTACATATAAATATAACAATGATTCTGCTCTTAAAAATATCATTGCAATACAGTTAAAATTTAAAAAAAAATTCTTTAAAAATTTCTATTTTACTAATTTTTCAAATAAAAATGTAAACTTACCTAATTGCTTCTGTTGAAACAATATGAGATTTGCCATTTTTATCACAAACTTCATATTTATACTCTTTTGAATCTAATCCCATTAATTTTGATTTTTCATTTCCAGCAGGACTATAAGATATAATAATTGTTTTATTATAATTATTATGTAAATTTTAAGTTTAAACTTAATATGCACATTAATTTAATAATAATAATAATGATAATTATTCTAAATTTCTTATGTTTAGTAAATACATTTTAGCTTGTTTTAAATTATAGTATAAAAAGAAAATTACTGATGATAAATTTATTGATGGAAAAAACTGCATGAAAATATTTTCATGCATTCAAATTTAATCATCATATATTTTTCGTATTGTGTTCTCCCTTTAATCTTATTAATTATGCATTTTGTAAGATCTTAAATGATAGTGTTTATTAATACTCAGGTTAACGATATTATTTGTCATGACAAATAATATTTTAAACCTGACTATGATTCAAATTATAGATTCATGTAGTCATCACTGGAATACAAAATCAAATCTAAAATTGTTAAATCATATTTAAATTTTCAATCAATTGTGTTAATATCCATATCCAACAGCAGATTACAAAGACATAACTTTTCTTAATACCTGCTAAGGTTATAATAAAATAAGTTACTATAAAATACCAATATTGCTATATTTATAGTGTGTACTAATTAGACTGCAAATTATCATATTTTATTGCATGTAAAAGACACCTCCATTTCAATACAGAATATTTAGATAAGTATTTAGTGTATTTAAGCCATAGGAACTTTTAGCACCCAGACCCAAAATTTTCTTTTACTGTAGTCTGGTTTAAAATAGTAAAATTAGAATGCATTTAAACCATACTTAAAGGAAGAAAAGAATTTTAAAACAAGTCATTTACAATTATATTTCACAACATGAAAAGAAGCAAAATCTGCTTATCATCATCAATTTTTGCTATAGCTGTGTTTTTATTCAAGAGCTGAGCTAGGTCAAGGTTAACTGTAGCCTACTAAAAGCAATTTGCAGAATTCACTTTGGGAGACCACAATTTCACACGTAAGATGTAAGACAACTGAGCATTGTTTTAGATAAAAGTTACATCTTACTTGCCATAAAATACAATAATTACAAAGCTACTATATTTATAAAATATAAAATGAAAAGTGCATAAAATTCATATTTTTTTTTTTTTGAAATAAATCTTGCAGGAAAATTAACACCACAAAAAGCACCAAGATTATGTAACTGAATTCTCATTTTAAAGAATTTAATAATTCAAGATTAAGCATTTAGTATATATTTTTTAATTACTGAAAAATATTACAAAAATAATAAATAGCACTTTTCATCAATCTAAGTAAAAGAATTTTTAAAAACTACTTTTAAAATATTTTTATATTAATATATAATTATCTGCATAGTTAGCAATAATTTATAACATTTCTAAAAATTAAGCCAGGCAAACACAATAGATCACATAGAAAATTAACTTGATAGTAAATAGTGATGTGCCAGATATCCGAGGAAAAAAAATCTGTATCCATATCCGCATCTGTTACTTTTTAGCGGATCTTTAATGGATCTTTTATCTTAATGAATTTCGTTATTTATATGAAATTTTAAAGATAGGTAGCAATAAAATACTAATTTCAATTCAAATCACTTTTTATTTCTTAAAATCACATATTTGGCACATTCATATTGCAAAAATTTTATCATCTTTATCAATTTTATCATATTGCAAAAATTTTATCATGCAAAAATCATTTACTATTGTAAAATATTTCCATATTACACTACTAAACTTTTTTGTCGACATTGTTTTTATTTCAATTTAACTCAACACACTCCAAAAATACAAATGTAATCTATGCTATCCCGTTTCACACTAAACTATAAACAAAAACATGCACAGTGCAAGTCATAACACGTCGTGTTACTAATGCAAAGCGTCAACTATCGGTCCAAGGTCACATGCACTGGCGCCGACTGAGTACGAAAGTTGAGATCCATATCCATATCCATATCCGTGGATCTAGACACTAATGATCCGTATCTGTATCCATGGATATACATTTTTAACAATCCGGCACATAACTAATAGTAAAAATGAACTTAGTTTTCTTCTGTAAAGCTATTACTTTAATACCNGAACTGTTTTTTAATGTTTCATCCTGAAGAGGGCCTCTAAAAGACGGCCGAAAACGTTAGAATATTAAAATCTTTTGACTGCTGGAAGTAGTATTGAGGTGTTAAGTGTTGTGTGTCATTTACTATTGTAAAATATTTCCATATTACACTACTAAACTTTTTTGTCGACATTGTTTTTATTTCAATTTAACTCAACACTCTCCAAAAATACAAATGTAATCTATGCCATCCCGTTTCACACTAAACTATAAACAAAAACATGCACAGTGCAAGTCAAAACACGCCAACTATCGGTCCAAGGTCACATGCACTGGCGCCGACTGAGTACGAAAGTTGAGATCCAGATCCATATCCGTGGATCTAGACACTAATGATCCGTATCTGTATCCATGGATATACATTTTTAACAATCCGGCACATAACTAATAGTAAAAATGAACTTAGTTTTCTTCTGTAAAGCTATTACTTTAATACCAAAACACCAAATTTTAGTCTTNAGATCCAGATCCATATCCGTGGATCTAGACACTAATGATCCGTATCTGTATCCATGGATATACATTTTTAACAATCCGGCACATAACTAATAGTAAAAATGAACTTAGTTTTCTTCTGTAAAGCTATTACTTTAATACCAAAACACCAAATTTTAGTCTTATGATGCATACAAACATATCCTGTCAAATGGACAGGATATGTTTGAATGTATCATGACTAAAATAACAAATTATGATAAATATTTTTCTAAACTTCACAATTCTAGATAATTTCTAAATCTATTCTATTTATACTAAAAAAATATCTACTTATGATGGAAAAAAATGTAACTAGAACTTTTTTCCCTTTCTAAACTGAACAAAATTTAGAATTTCAAATGACTGCCAGATTAAGTCAGGTTACTTTACCACTAGTATTTTAAATTAATTTCTAAATAATTTGGTACTAGAGGTAGGCATCAGGTGAAACTCTTGTTAAATTTAATAACTAAGTCAATATTTAATAAATAATTTACAGTGTTCTGGAAGAAAAGAAATTGGTCTGAAATGGAACTTGAACTTGCAACTCCCAGCTCCCACTTACTGCGTGGATGCACTGGCAGACACTACCAGAACCTCTGGTAAAGTAGCTAAATTTAATCCAGCAGTTGTTAGGCATATTACTAATATATCAGGCTTCAGGATGTTTATATAATTTAAAATAATTTAAAATTTCTTTCCTTATTTTATCAAATTCTTTTCACAGCTATCTAATTATTTTAAGATTATTGCCTTAAATATGAATTCATACTTACCCATCTATTTGTTGAGAATTGCTTTTTTCCGGTAGTATAACCTTCTTAACAGTGCATGATTGCCTGTCAAAATAATTTTAAATTTTAATCTAAATTTAAAACAATGTATCATTTAAAATGTGTTTATTAATCTGATAATATAAAATTATCTGTCTATTCTAGAAAAAATTTTATAATTTGTACATTTAAATTTGTATTATATTTTAGCAAAATACAACCATTTTTAATATTAAGTAAATTTTGTAACTTGCATGAAAATAAAAACTATGGAGTTCATGTTCAGGGCAATAATTACAAGTTTTTATATAAGGATCATGAAAATTCTGATCTGAGATCAAATTGAACTAAAAACAACTTGCATAGTCATTTTATTCATGGAAAAAGAAGATTCCATAAATTAATCATGATATGAAAATCCAATGAACTGAATGCAATGTTTATCAACAGATTTGGTAATGTTAACAAGCATATACAGATTATCACCAAAGAAAGAAAATAAAAGCAAATTCTTTTGCATAGAGATATTACCACAAATGAAATAAAGCATTAAACCAAAACAGCATTTATAGTTAAAACAACTCATAAAATTAATTTAAATTCTAGAAAATTCTCAAGCAAAATCAATGGTTGAGCAGTGCCTTTCCCTTAAGAAATTTTGATATGACACTAAATTAACACTTTATGATTCAAATAATTACATGTCAGACTTGAGTGCCTACTTTCACCTGCTCAATCCCCAGCTTGATTTGTCACTTATTGAGTGTTTGTGGGCCAGATGAGACCAGCTATATAAGAGATCTGAAGTGACAGTTGCAACATATATGGACAAATCTGTTGCAAGGTAGAATACAATGCCTCCATGCTTAAATGAATTGTTTCATGCATTCAGATAAGAGGAAGTACTAATGATTTCCTTTAAATTATATAGTTATTGCAAAGGAAACTGTCCCTTTACTATGATATTGTAATTGCTTATTACCACTGTTATTATATTTTCATTAAACTCCAATGCCTCCTTGATGTGTAAAACTTTGTCAATGAGTGTATTTTGAAAATTTAATTTCTTAGAATTACTGCAGTAAATTATATTTAAGATTCAAAATTTATTACTTACTTAAATAAAACAAACAACCCATGTTCTATAACAAATTTTGTACATAAAACTTCAATAAAATTTCACAAGAAATAAATAAATAATGTGGTGAAATTATAAGTAACAAAAATCCATAAAATAAAATTTTTATATTTCTTTTTGATAATTGATTTTTGAAAGAACATTATAGTGATAAGACAAAGTTTGATTTTTTAATATAAATTAATATAATCGACTAAACCAGGGGTCATAAAACTTTCTTCACAGTGGGCCAGATAACCGAGAGAATGATGAGTGCAGACTGCATAACCATTTTGTTCAATACAGTATACTGAATATACAAAAAATAAAGACCACCAACATATTTATTTACCAATACATAAATATGATTGCTGCAGCAAGCTCGTAATCATTTTTCTTAGAAACTTCATTGCATGTACTTAAAGAAAAAGCACTCTGAAATCCAAAGTTGCAAAAAGACGCCAAACTTTTCATTTCACTAATTTTCCTAGAAATTAAATTACTCTCAAATGCAAAAATCAGATTGAACCAATTTTGCATTTTTATTTACACTTATTTTAATTTTTTCTACATAGTAAGTTCATTTACTATCTATGATATTTCCATATAAATAATTATATTTGAGCTCATTTATGGCACAGTGCAACGGATGAACTGACCTCGAGGGCCAGATCTGGCTTGCAGGCCGTAATTTGGTGACCCCTGAACTAAACTATAAACTATCAATTCTATTCATTTTTTTTTTTCAAATCGAAAAAGACACTCCTAAACAATTAAAAAAAAATTTTTTTTAAATAAAACATTAGGAGCATATTCCTTAACTCAATACTAGTAGGCATGATACTGGTAAGCATTTCTAAAATCAACATTTTTCTTATGTCAGAGCTACCAAATGAACCTGTTCTTAGAGATGTTCGATCCAATTTGAGTGGTCTTCAGTGTCTTGTTCAGGTTTTGTGTCATAACATATGGCAATGATTGTTCAGGTTTTGTCATAACATATGGTGTGATTTGGCATATAGGCTTCTAAACACAACATAATTTCCTGTATCAACTCAAACATCTTTTTACAGTTATCTGTAAGTCCATGATTTACATATAACTTCTGTAGAAACTATGGAAAATCAACAGTAGTTGGCATAATCAGTATGTTCAAATATGCCTAACAGAAATGCTAAATATGCAATCTAATTCACTCTTCATGAACTCTAACAATTGCTGCTTCTGTCAAAGTTTCAAGAAATTGACTTCATTCAGTATGTCTAGCAATGTTTTAACAGTATACTTTTGGTTAGCTAACAGACATTGCCATGCAACAGATCAGCATGTTCTGCTTTGCATTCCTGTAGAAAGGATCATAGATAATGATGCAGCAGACTCTAGCCATGGCTAGAGACTTTCTGAAAGTTTGGTACAAAACTGTTTTATATCATCAATATGGTAGTAATACAGCACAAGGATTTTGGTTTTGACTATTATATATAACCCACAATTCTCAAGTCATTGCAGCACCACCTTCATAGGTCAGATATAAATTTTTCCTATTCAAAAACATAATAACTGAGTGCATTGTCAAGGGCTTGGAATATTTCCTATTATGTTTTTCCAGGGCAAATTAAACAGGACTAGTACAGTAAAGCATGAAATAAGCTTTAATACAGACAGATATACACAAATTTGATTAATGCTATAGGAAATATTAAACTAATGAAATGACTAAAAATAATTGAGTTGCTGCACAGGAACACACATCCAATAAATTGGCAAAATTGAGTTTGATATAAAACTATATTCTGTAAGTAGAGTACATTTTTGGCTATATTCAATTCTTTAAAGATATGAGTTCAAATATTTTCTGCATAGAGAAGTGTTGTATCTAATTGCAGTGTTGCCAAGCAAAATAAGCTATAGAAAGAAAAGAAAAATCCAGCAATGAGTTGTTTAACTTTCTTGGCAACATTTAAAACTGCATGTGTGGCACCATCTGTTATAAAGTTTTTAAATAAAATATCATAATATTAATTATTATAAAGTGGCAAGAAGCTTAATTTTGAGGGCAGGATGGGTTTTTTAAAAAAATTTAAATGCTAATAAAAAGGAAAATCACCATTAAGTCCAACCCTACAAGATATGACACATGAACCCCTTTATCTCCCCCATCTTGTCAACCTTTAACAACCAAAATTTAATAGCTTCAATCCTAATACACAAATAGCTCCTAATACACAAACCTACCTTAAAAATTTCAGAAATTTTTGACAAAAAGCAGTATGTACATGTACTGATTAAACATCATACTGTTAATTCTGGTTTATGTGAAGAGTTTCTATGTAAGGAAACATTCAAATACCAAGTTGACACATGAGACTGTTCCTATCATATGTACCAAAAGATACTGTGATGTATGCGATGTTATCTTGAAATGATTGCAGATCGTAAAGTTATTTAACTGATTACAATTATGTTTTGGAGAATATAAGGGGAAGGATAGATAGAAGCCACACAACAAAAATTTTTTGTTTACTTTTTTTTAGCTTATTAAAAACAACTATTAAAATTTATAATATCTGAAAAACTTATCCCTAGACTCAAGAATAAGCTCTTTTAAGTCTCTTTCCTCTTGTTTTAGTACTGGGAAAGTCATGCAAGAGTCCTTGCCATATTTTATCTTTTACATGATAATCTAAAATAAATATTGAGAGAATTTTGTTTCCAAAAACTTAGACATTCTATTAAGATCACTTAAAATAATTATTAGTAATAAAATATGTAAGTTTTTATTTATTTATAAATATGAAAGCTTTTATTTTGTAATAACTCATTAATTACTTTTATTTTTAAAATTATTCATTAATAACTAAAATAGAAATGATTTTTTTCTTGTTTTTTAAGCGTAATTGACATATATTTAATCAACAAACAACGATGTAGTCGACTGCGTATAAAGCTATTTCACTACTGCAAAATAATAAAATGGTTTTAAGTAAGATCCTTACCACATATCAGTAAGCTTTTTACATGCTTCCGACGCTTTTTGGAATTTACGCGGTGTTCGTCGTTCGCGAAACATTTTTCGATAAAACAAGACTACTTCCTGCCTTCCCCACCATTAACACAACGACAATAAAAGAATTTTCCGCCAAAATCTGACAGCGAGCGGATTGGTTGTAACAACTGCTTGTAGCGCCATCTTTCGGGTATATCTTAAAACGATTACCGCCTAATCACCATTATAAAATATGTATATGATGATAAATTACTTAATCAGAAGTTTTTAGAATTCGTTACGATTTTAATCAGACGCATTATTTTCTTTAAATTTTCCTACAGTATATACTACACATATTCTAATTTTATCTTTTTATTAATAGAAGACTTGACATAGCATTCTGCTTCTTGTTTTATAAAAACTACCATAATTATTAATTAATTGAAGCTATAGTAGTTTTAAATTTAATACTTTAAAAAATATTATTTAAATTCTGCAATTGGACGATGACCTTGTTCGTTACGGAGCCATTCGGTCTGGTTCATAATAGTCAGACTAAGGGTGCGACTATGCAGACGCGAATTTAGAGCGAGCGAGAGGTTGCGAGCGATTTAGTTTTCGCAAAGGAAAACCATGCATAAACGAGAAGTGAGAAATAACGCTAGCGAGAGCGAATTTCTGGTTCTCGCACATATCTGACAGGTTTTGATATTTATCGCGTCTCGCCTCTTCTCGCCACATATTCTCGCTCGCTCGCGTCTGCATAGTCGTATTCTAAGACTTCTTTTACTTTTACGATCCGGATTTAATCTAGGATACTGAGCAGCTTATAATTCTATGTTTACTTTAGAAACTAGCGCACTATCTTGTGTTTATTTTTGCATGAGAATTTTGCTCTGAGTAGGCACAATTCACTCGGAATTTTCGGAGCAAACATGAGTTGTTTTAATTTGATGTCGA